TTTCCAATAGTGAAAACACCTAGATTCTTTCCGAACTTACACCTAAACAATAATTGTGCGGGAAAAATGGCAATAATAAAACTTAGTGCTTGAATCGACTTTGAATCAAACTTTAGGTTTATACATTTGGTGCTTGTTCTCTACGCGCGTAGTCGTGCTTCAATCGCAGCTTCCATACCTCGCTATGCTGATGTCGCTCGCAATAGCTTCTGAACCACTTTTTGCCCAAACTTTTGCGGCCTATTCGAGTAGACGTTGGTATATTCGCGACCCAATTCGTTATCTTTTAAGTAAAATTTCGTGACGCATTTGAATAGGCTGTTATAGTGCCTCCTTAGGGAACGTCTTGCTTCTGCACCGGTGGTTTCGTTTGCATGACATATCGCAAAACTGGTGTGGTATAACATGACTGCATGGTGAACATAGGTTACGGGCGCTCACGTTGAAATTATGACATCATGACTGCATCGCGAAAATAAATGACAGGTGCTCATGTTGAAATTATGACATGCGTGGCATGTAAGAGCATGACTACATTCCACACTCATGATGTGCTCGCCGTCGTTTTGGTAGCTTCAAATACACCAAATTTGTTATTACGTGATGCGAATGGATGATGAAGGTATATGACTGGTGCAAACATGATAATCATTACATGCGTATCTTTAACAACATGACTGCACGCCACGGTCATGGTGTGCTCTCGGTCGTTTCGCTACCTTCATATACACCAAATTTGGTATTACGTAACGAGAATGGAAGATGAAGGTATATGACTGGTGCAAACATAATATATATGACAGGTGTGTCATGTAAGAGCATGACTACATGCCATGCTTATGATTGGCTCACGGTTGTTTCGCTAGCTTCATATATACCAAGTTTGGTGTTACGTGACGTGAATGAATGAAGAGGGCATATCGCTGGTACAAATATGATAATCATGATATGCTTGTCATGTAAGAAAATAACTACATGCCACGCTCATGATATGTTCGTAGTTGCTTCGCTACCTACACAGACACCAAATTTAGTATTTTGTAAGCTGAATTGATGATAAAGGTGTATCACTTGTGCAAACATGATAATAATGATATGTGTGTGTCATGTAAGAAGAACCTGACTACATGCCACGCTGATGATGCGCTCCGGTTGGTTCGCTTGCTTCACATACACCAAATTTGTTACTATATGCCGTCAATGAATGATAAATGTATTTGACTGGTGCAAATATGATAATCATAACAAGTGCGTGGTGAAAGAACATGACTACATGCGACGCTCATCATGCACTCGCAAATGTTTAGCTGGCTTCACGTATACCAAACTTGGTATTACGTTTCGTCAATCGAGGATGAGCACACATGTCAGATGTAAACATGATAATCATGAAGTGGAAGTACGGCCTAATTTACGTACACCTCGTATAGTTATGCCAATTTTAATGAGACAATTCAATCTTCCTTATTGGTGCTTTGCATATAATCGATTCCTAAAGTACGTGAGATCTACCATTTTTTTACTTCTTTTTGAAATAAACTTTCTTCCTTCTACTTCACCTCCACCTGTGATAGATCACTGATCGCGGTACCATAGCGTGACACAATACGCAGTAGATCGTCTGTAAGGAGTCCTAGCGGAAGAATGTTTCTTCGTTCTTTTTTTTTCTTGTTGCAGTTTTTATGCTTTATTTATAGGGAATTTCTGTAATTGCCTCCCCTACTAAATTCCCTTCGGGGCCTGTAGTGTGTTATGAATAAATAAATAAAAAAGCTGCACTTTTAAAGGAACGCCATAATTCCCGCGGGCATGCGCGCCGTGAAAGGGGGGGGGGGGGCTTGGAGGACTTCTGTTTTTCATAATTACCTTATAGTGGGAAGGGAGCAAAGTCGTGCATAAAAGTTAACATCATAGGAAAGGGGAGTGCTGTGACGAATCTTCACCCCCTTCTCTTTCCGATGGAGAACCTGAGATGGAGAACCCTTCCGATGGAGAACGTACACCTAAGGTCGTGTTGTTTATTTGACATAGAAATTTTGTTGTACACAAATTTTCAGACAGTGAAGTCTACTGTCGTGCGCAACGTTGACTTTTTTTGTCTCCCAGAGCCGTAATATTGAACGAAGTTGTTAAAAATGCCTTGTAGTGCACGGGGTTTCGAGGTTGCTTGGCCCAGATTCCCACAGGAAAGACCCGGAGCCAGACCAGGAACCTCCTTTATTGACCGCTGCCAGCTGCTGCCACGTGCCACCCGGCGCACACTCGATCATCATCCTCCGCTACCTTCAGTCACTTACAGGCTCGCAGCTGCCGCTCTCATACTGCCCCCTCCCCTTCGGTCAAAGTGAAAAGGGGGACGTGATGCGGTAGCGTCTAGCCCTGGCCACGACGGACCACACGGGGCACACAAAACCTCCTGTAAGCACAGTTGATTCGCTCATAGAGGCGAACTTTACCGCCACCAGAAGACGGAGGCGCACCGGTCTCACTCTAGTTGATGACTACGGTTGTCGGTGGCAGCTGGACAGGAAGCCGATGCTCCTGGTGCAGATCCGGTCTCACCGAGCGAGCGGGTCGAAAGTAGTGAATGTAGATCTCCTGGAACTGACATTGTTGTACGTTTCCGTAGTCGTGGTAAATGTCTCGCTGTATCATCTTTTGCCGTTGTAGCCGCCCGGACCTCTCACTTCTGCGTAGCTGCCACTCCTCCACCTAGTAGTCGTTAAACGCTGGCGAGCTCAAAGCCGTGGAAGCGTGATGTTCCTGCAAAGGCTCTGACTGCTAAAGTTTTCGGCACTCACATCTCCACTTTCGCTGATGTTGATGCCAGGTCGCCTTTCATAACCTTTCTTGACGTAGTTTCGAACCTTTAGGACAGCCACTTTGCGCTCCAGAGCACACACGCTGGTGCAATTACTCGCGTTCACCGCAGGTTTTTCCTTCAACGTGTCCACCTTTTTTGTCACTCTCTCCAAGGACTTTTGCAGCTGTTTCAGCTCCCGTTACAACTTGGTTTGTTTATTCGTTTGCGTCTGCTTTGCTTCAAACTGCTCTATCAGCCGGTTCTCCTCCATCTCAGCTGAGTCCAGCACCTGCTTCAGCTTCGCAAGCTTTTTCTTCAAAGTAATTCATCCTCACACCTCCTTAGGATGTGCTTAAGAGCTGTCTCAGAATAAGACACACGACCGAGATGCGTCTCTATTTTAGAGACCTTTGCTCAGAAAGTCTTCTCTCCAACTTCGAGCTCCTTAATTTGCTCCTGGTTCTTGTTGCACTCGGCCTCCTTCTTGTTCAGTTCCACAATTCGTGCCTGTGCTTGACTAGCATATCGGGGACGGCCCTGCTGAGCCTAGGTGATCTGCGCGCGAAAGTCAGCTGCTTGCATTCGTAGCTCGTCCAGCTGAAATTCCTGGAATACACGCTGCCACTGAAGCTCCTCTTCATGGCTGCACCACATGTTTGCCAGATCAGTGTGTCTCTCCCACAACTGCATTTCGAACTGGGCAGACTGTTGTTGCTGATCTCTCAGGCGCTGCTGGGCATCTGCGAGCAGCTCCTCCCAAGTGCGAACTTCGTCTTTCAGGTCAGAAATGTGGTGGTCTTTCTCATCAATAATGCTGATTGCCCTGAATTTGCAGACGTTGTGTGTGTGCTTGCGCCCGTAATGTTCATGAATGAAGCGTCCAACTCACTCCAGCTGGCTGATGATAGTAGTGTGCTGCAAGGTAACCTGCTTCAGATCATGCACATCAACCGCCAGGGCAGCCTTGTCCCTCTAGAGGTCACGAATGCAAGCTTGCTCTCCTACGTTGTCGTAATACGTGACTGCCTCCACATGTTCATATTTGCCGTCCGCGCTGCAGCCTGCTTTCTCTCAGCCTACAGAAGCGTCTCTCTCTGCGCAATAGTCGCCTTTCCTGTGCTGCTCGTCTTCGGCCTCTAAATTGATGTGCTGCACGTCGAGTTGTTTCTTCCTTTTCTTTCTTCCTTTCCATTCTATTGTCAACGTCATCAATAGCGCCACCTGCACAGCTTCTTTTCGAGCTGCAGCACCATCTCGTCGCGTGGCGTCTCCACACACGGCGTTCACCGCAATTTCAACCTTGGTGACGTCCCATGCACCCTGTCGACACCAACTACCATCTGCCTGGCGTCCATGGAGCTCACCTCCCTCTCCACGACGATGGGTACGGCCGCAGTAGACGGCTCCGCAAATTGCCGAGCAAAGCGAGCAAGTGCCTAGAGGGAAGGAAAGGAGTGACCCAACAGGTCCAGCTTGAAATGGAGGTGGCATCGATGCATTACGTGCGAGGCTTTAACGGACTCAGGTGCAGTGAAGTCCGCCCAACAGAAGAGCTTCTGCATGGCCCGAACATAATCTCATAGACCCTTCTGTGAGTGTTGCGTTCAGGTGTCGAGCCTGATAAAACTACCAACATCTTGCACCCCACTTTGGGCGTCAAAAGTAGGGGATTGCGAGGCCGCTCAGCCCAGAACCGCGGAAGGAAGACGCAGAGCCAAACCAGGAACCTTCTTTATTGACCGGAACCCTGGCCGCGACTGCCCACTGTTAGCCGCTGCCACATGCCACCCAGCGCGCCCCTAATCACCGTCCTCTTCCTTCTGTCCTTGGCAGGCTCGTGGCTACCGCTCCTATAATAGGTAGACGCTTTGGGGGGATGCAATCGTGCTCACCCTTTTGGGAACTTGAGTCATATGACGAAAACACACAGAACACACTGTTATGCGTGAACGACAGTAAACATTTGGGCAACTGTACTGGGCACATTTTAGCATTACTCAATTCGTCGCAGGATGCATCATTTCCGGTAAACACTAACTTTTTCTCCGGTTTCTTCGGGTGACAGATGTTTTCAACAGATAGACAACTTAATTTGATTGAGGACTTTTTTGAAAACGCGTGCGCCCATCTTATAGACTCGTGAGCTGCCTCTGAGCATCACCTGGCTCCCAAACTTATACGAATGTTACCCTTCCAGGGATCGTCGCTTTGAACGGCCAGGAATGGAAGGAAAATAGACGGCTGTGTATGCAGATTCTCACCGACCTGGGATACGGAAAGGAGTCTATGCACGCACTCATTCAGGCAAGCTCAGCCACGTGTGACCCCATAATTGTGTTTTTTCTATAACTCGCTATGGCCACATTGAATCTTTCCTTGACAGTTTTTTTTTCATTCTTATTCCCAACGTATTAGTTCTGACCCTGTCGATCGCAATGAGAAAAGAACTTGCTGGACTGCATGAGGCAAGCTCAATATTTATCTCTCATTTATTTCATTGCATTTCAACAGCTGGAGCACAATGACGAAAACTGACTAGCGCACAAACTATTGGCGGTGGCATAACTCTTCTATCCCATAAAATTTGAATGTAACCGGCTTAGCAAATATTTCAGATATAAATTAACAAAATGAAAGTGACTATCAAGTCAATCGGCTTTAAGAAATTTCGTGCGCCAACGTACCTCGCATATTCAATGTAAAATATCTCAGGTGCACTACAGTCGGATACATCTTTAGAAATCTGCAGCATTCCCGCCTCAAAGGCAGTTTTATACACACAAGCCTACACCAATGGGTGTGCTTTTATGACTGACGTCATGAGCCCGAGGGCCGGTGACCTAGCTTTCGGAGAACATATGCCACTTGACGCGCGATACCATACGCTGTGTGCACGTATGCGCTAAAAGCTGAACTACAACTATACTTAACTCATTATCATCGGCGTTAGTCACCGCTATATAGATGTGCAACCAGGCGTCAGCATGAGTGCATTCACGTCAAAAGAAGCTATAGATGCAAAACACCTGTAGTGCTATCGTTTCGACGGCGCGCCAAACAGAGTATGCGCGACCGCGAAAGAAAAGAGAGAGAGAGAAAACTTTATTAAAAAGTCAGTCAATTGTTCAGGCATGGCCCATCGCCCCTAGCTGTCGGCCGGAATCCCTTGGGACGTGAATAAAGAAGGTACTTCGCCGTGGCACGTGATGCCATGGCTCATGTTTCCTTCTGGGGCCGGCTGCGGTTCAGACGTATCTTTCCTTCGCTTCTGAGGCATGAGGCTGGACACCAATAAGCGTTTTTGTAACTGTCACAAAATTTTCAAAGTAAGCATTTCTTGATTTTGTGTTTGACCAACGTATGATGTAGGGATCATGCAGGCTTTTTTTACTTAGTGTCAGTCGCTGTATTTCTGTGTAGTTCAGTGTGGGCGCTCACCAATGACATTCCATAGTGCAGGAAGAAGCGCGGCACTTGGTTGCAAAGATCGCAGAAGCCGGAGGCAAGCCAATCGCATCGCGAGGGCTCTTGGATGCCAGCGTGCTCAACAACATTACTTTCTACCTGTTTGGCAAACGCCATGACCTGGACGACCCTAAACGGCGCCAACTCGACGCTCTCATTGCTGGGTTCTTTCAATCTGGGCTCGACTTCTCCATTGAATGGTTGCCTGGCTGGCTTAGGCGAGCGTCGCAGCGTCTCTTCCCGACGATGCGCTGCTCTGCCGTCAGCAGGCTGGCCGAGGATATCACAGATTACATGAGGCGAGTGCTATTTCAGACAATTTATAGAGGGTGACCACGCGTAGCTGGCCGATAACGACATTGCGTATCAATCGAAACTTCTGCAGGTATACACTACGATGGCTTTCATAATCATTCGGTGGTTTCGACCATCTAGTGTTCCTTAACGTGCATTGACATCACACAACATATGGGCCTCTAGAATTTCGCCACGACCAAATTGTGACCGCCCCCGCTGGAATTCAACCCGTGATTTCAGGTCAGCAGCCGAGCATTATAGCCGCCACGCCACCATGACGAACAATTCTCCACCGTTGAGGTGAATAATGGTCTGCTAGTTTCTCCACTCAGACATATTGTTATTCGGGGACGGCGATGCCTTTAACAAGAAGGGTTCGTTGCAGCATTGGTAGTTCAGGAGCTAAGACGCTCTTTCCAGTATCGGTGCAATTTCTTGATTTGTAGAGGGTTTATTCACTTTGGCTGGTCTCTCGCGCGAAATGCTTTGATCCAGGTGCCACTAAAGTTCAACTGTAGCAGCTTGGAAGTAGACCATACGGGAGCCCGTGGTCACTGTTACAGTTTGGGGAAGTCACCGTCCTCTTTCCCTGAAATTGTGGGCCAGACGGGAGTCGCCGGAGGCAAACGCGTATCCGCTATCCTCTTTCGTTGGAATGTTTTTAGCTGCAGTGTTAGCTTTGGCTTATTTATCAAAGGCCTTCTGCTGTTTCGATCTCAACACGTTGCGGGAATCATTGCTCAGCAGGTCGTATAGGTAAGCGAACGAGCTTGCCAGGATTGAAAGAAACTTGCTATAGGACGTCAGAACACTAATGTAAGAACGCCATTGAGTAACGTTCGTAGGAATCAGAGCTTCCATGACTGCCTCCAGTTTATCCCTCTCCCAGGTATTGTAGTCCTTCGCTGCTTGTCCTGATATAAAAAACCTCATGATATAAACCATGATATGTAAACCTTCAGGACTCCGGAAGGTACACTTGATTCTTCAGAGCTTCACGGCATTCGCTCAGCACTGCTGAAGTACCACCTTCAGAGCCCTTCTTTCGTCACGCTTTGTTCAGCAACCAGCACGTCATCTTATATAGTACAGTGGGACATATACAATGCCCGCCAAGAAGGTTTTACTGGTACGCTGAAAAATCGCACATGCCGACGACACCCAAAATGACCTGCGGTTACAAGAAAACAGCCGCCGATGGCTGCTGATCAAGGTTCGCTCCTTTGATTTTTTGTCCAGTGGTATGTTATTATACGCGTCGCGTAGGTTCCATCTGCTGTATCCATTTCCCTCATCGAGGACAGCAAAAAGGTCGTCTATTAAAGGAAGTGGGTATGGTTCCGTATCCCATGCCGAGTTCAGGGTTACCTTTTAATACCCATTAATCCGCATCGACCCACCGGCTTTCTCAACCTGCACGATAGGCATTGCCCACTCCGAATGCACCACGTGCGAGTGCAACGCAGATTTCTGTTGTCAGTCTGACTCGACGTCTACTTTGTTTTTTTTTTCAAATGCTTGGCAGCGATTTTGCTTTTGAAAAAAATTCCTTATCGCCCCTTTCGTCACATATTGGTTCAAAGGTGGTACCTTGAATAAGCCTGAACGTGGCTCAAATACGTCACTGTGATCCGTCAATATGGCCTCTAAGTTCAGGCCTTTCTCTTGACTTACTGAGCTTCACAAACAAAGAACGGGAACTCATAGGTTGTTCCGCCTTTGGACGGGGTTTCGACTGCATAGACATCACCTCGGGAGATGCAGCACAGTCACTGGTGTCGTAACGGTCTTGTTGCCGAAAGAGACCAGAAGCCGTAAGAGACCGGCGCTTACCGGCTACTGGCAGTGGTCTAAAATATCTTGGTAGCTTTATATTTAAACTTCTCAAGTGGTGGCCAGCTAGCTTGATGCTTGTTGTAGGCATCCCAGGATAATACACATACTTGTGAGCCGATGTGATTCATATGACGTGGCCCACACCGCCGCAGTTAAACTTGCGCCTTACTGACCCGATTGTCTGGTTCTCTTTGATGGTGCCTTTTCTCAAAGAAGACAACTGGTAGAGCTTTTAGTCATCTTGCGAATTTCGATGGCCCGTAAACACATGTGTGTTCTTCTCCTGCTTTTACTTCGTACAATATTTAGTGGCTACGTGCCTTTATCGCCCACACTGAAAAGATTTGGCATTCTTGAGCGAACAGGTCACTTAAGGAAAGTCTTGGCTGCCGCAGCAGTCACACGGTTTCAACGGTTCGCTCCGACCTTGTTGTTTTCCATGGGTAGTTAGCTCACGCTTACTTGCCAGCTTGTGAATTTCCGGTACAATCTCTACATCGGGCGTTTCTGATGAGCCCTGCACCTTCGCGTTCCACTTCATCCGTGTGTACAATATTCTTCGCTTCCTGTAGGATCAACTTCCGTTGAGCAAGCTGTGCCTGTTAGGTGTCGGCACTTCGAATACTGCACACCATTCTGTCCAACATCATGAGGCTCAATGCTTCACCAATATGGCATCTGTCAGTGAAACTTCCAAGTTCCAAAATTACCCTTTGAGCCGTTTCTCCCTGCTTTTGAATGCGAGAAATTTTATTAAAAATAATAGGCCTTAGAAGATAATTTTGAAACGAAAGATTCTCTCTAAGAAGATGAAAATGTTACAAAAAGTGTACTGTTTCCGCCCGAAAATAACTGACTCAACATTTACAGAGCACAATGCTTCCTCATCAAGTCGAACATAGCACGTCCTGCAGAGTACTGAGACGAGAAACGCTTTTTTCTTTGCATCCTTAACCATGCCATTTTTCTCATAGTACGAGTTGATGTAGATAACATATCAACCTCACTTGACGTTTGCGTGTCGAACTGCCGCGTTTCGCCCTATATTTCGGCAAGTGTAGAGCCAAGAAAGTCTCCGTTGCAGTGGTTTTTGGGTTACCAAATCTATTCGAGTCTAGACATTTGTCTTCCTGTGCACGGTTCTTTTCCTCTTTGCATGCAGGAGGAAAGCGGAAACACGCTCATCCCCGGTAACACTGTCTGGTCCCGCAATATTGTCTTTTCGATAATTCTCCGTAATCTTCTGAAGGCTGGCGTGATGCTCTTCGCCATTTTTTTTCGCCTACGTGGCAAAAGTTTTCCAAGTTCGGCTATGAAGTTTATTGAATTACATATTTCCGCAATATTTAGGTGTGAGAAATTTTATAAATAGCAAATCAACAATGAATTTTTCACGCAGAGAACAACAAGTCTACAATGCGACGACACTACCGGTGTCTGATAATTTAGAAGTTAATAATTTGTTTTATTAATTTGCTGCCATAATTGCTGTGTTTTAACACATGATCTCCCACTCCTGGGAAAAATTTTCATGCAGACCGTAAGCATACATTCCAATGTCCTATTTTATAATTTCCAGACGCATCTCTTGAAACACTCTATATAATACCGCACCATCACAACATAAATGTTTAATTAAGTTATTGTGGCTTCACAGGAACACTGCTACTGGCATTTTCCTAATGACGTGATCCTAAAATGAGTAAATACAGTGAGGCGAGAAGCAACGTAGTAGCAGTCAGTGAACACTGTTTGTGCAAGTAAGTTTCCCTATCTGGCCTTGGTCGTGCGAACCACGCAATAACGTTGTTTGTTTACCGTCCAGAGAGGAGATAGAACATCATCAGAGGATACCAGAGAGCCAGCGCCCGAGATGCTTTGTGGATTCATTCTTGCGAGAAATTCAAAGTCAGGAACAAGCTGACATCACAAGTAAGCTACTTGTTACTTATCGACCTCTCTTTTCTTTATATATTCATGCAATAAATTTTCACCTAACATTTCGTAAGATGCGCACATGCCACATCGATTGCTAAGAACGAGCCACCCTGTTTTTGACACATGGTGGGTCAGAAAGGAGGAGGAAAAAAAATTTCTATTTTAGAGAACCCAGCGGCCTAGGTCGCGTGGATCCCACTTATAGGTGATACCCTAGAAGTCTTTGGGCCCTGGTGGCATCCTCGGCCCGTCGAATCGCCCAGAGCTGTTCTTCTGGGTATGAGCTAGGCAGCACAATTTCCCACTGCTCATCCTTATCAATAATTCGACCCTGTCGAACCACTTTTTGACAGGCCCACAGGATGTGTGGCAGGCCCGTTTTTGCCTTCCATAATTTGCACCTGTCGGTGTAATGAGCTGGATAATAGTTGCTGTAGGCCACTGTGTTTTAATACGTGTTTGTGTAATGAAGGCGCCAGGCCACCGCTTGCTGCTTGCTAAGTGTATGGTGCGCGAGAGGATACCGGGCTCTTTATAATCAGTAATAATTGTTGGTTATCTTATCGGAAACCATGCGATCTCCTCTCCAGCCTAGTGGGGGCTTCTCAGTGGCTCGGCAAGGGAGTCCTCGAGCTGCCATGTGAGCCGCCTTATTGCCAGGAAGAGAGAAGTGTGCAGGCGCCCAAACAATTAGTGCTCTTGTGGGGTCTCGAAAGTTGGCCAATACTATTTGTGCTTCCGGCGAGATTCGCCCTCCGGCTAAATTTTTGACTGCTGCTTTAGAGTTGCTGTTTACTCTTATAGCCAGCGTGAAAAATATGGTCACTGCGATAACCCAGTCTTTCGAAGCTTCCACGCTTCTGATTTGAATAGAGTCGCTAGCTTTTAGGGCATCGTCATTGCCTATGACCGAAATGACCATAGCACACAAGTGCGCCTAATCCGCTGCGCCCTACGTAGACAGCATCTGTTGAGCTTGAGAAACGATTTAATTGTTTTCGAGTGTTCTATTGTACTTTGTTATACTAGGTACGCATGTTCTTAGGCAGTGGAGGGAGAGAAGGTGTTAAATTAGTTTGCGCACAAATCAGTTGCGTGTGAAGCTGTGCTTTTCAATATAGAACCAATGTTGTCAAGCTCCCAGAATATTCTTTTCTGATGGTGATCGGTCTTGCATAAAAATGATAGAGCATGGCTCCTAGAACATGTCTTTGAGTTTAATAGAATGGAGATAGACATCGAATGCAGAAAATTGCCTCCTCAATGCCGCCCACATGTATAGTATGTGCCACTCTGCTGGTCATTCGAATGAGACAAGAGTATCCATTCGTAAAACGCACACTCTAAAATATGCAACGCAGCTAACTTTCACCCCAACGAAAAGAGTCCAGATTGAAAACGATGTCGCAAATTATAGTGAATATAATGCAAGCGCAAATTCGAGAAACCTGGTATTTCACTAAAAAGTGCAGCAGTGTAAATCGGAATTTTCACGTAGGGGGCTTAATGATTCGTACGCCATGCGCCCCTGCAATACAAATCTAGCAAATAGTCTCCAGCTGTAGTAGGGTATGTGTAATAAATGTACCGGCAGCTCTTTAGAGCAAACTGTTTTGACATCGTGCAACTTCTCCGGTTTAGACGTTCAGCAATCTTTCATAAATTTACGCCGTCAACGTACCCAAGGTTCAGTAAAAATGTTGCTTTATTCCTTCCATTTGCAACCTGAACGGCTATGTAAAATCAGCAAAGACATACTCGACTAGAGAAAAACAAAGTGCACACTACACAGTGGAGCTTTTATTGTCAAGGTTCGCCGTGTGTCACAGATTTATATTTATCATCGGGAACCGTTCAGCCCTCAATCAGCGCCCAATTATCCTGCACACATGGTTAGCAAGCGAAGTTGGAACTTCAGCCCGGCGTTTATCACTAAGTCAATCCCGACGTTTAGCTCAAGTCCCCCTCCCCGTTATTGCTTACGCCTTTACACTGATCTTAATCGATGTTTGCTGCCCAAAAGATTCATTGTTAATTATATAGGACAAGTGTGGTAAGTAGTTACATTCTGTGGCACATACATGCTATATGAGTTCTGCAGAAGAGATTAACCTCCGTGCTTTTCTCTCATTTTATTCAGGCACTCTCTCTACAGGAGAGCTGTTATGCTCTAGGTACGCTTTGTGTCTCAGGTAAAAAGCTTTCACCACCATGAGCCACACGTGCTGACACACCTCCAAGAATTTTGTTGCGAGAGCTAACAAGAGAAGGTGGAACGTGTCCACCAGCTCTGGTGTGACCGATGTTTTGCGTGGCTTAGTGCAGCTGCGCTAAGTACTTCAAAAAAATAATTACTGCAAGCATTACACATGCGAAAATTGCGAAAGTATGGTGGGGCATGCCGCAGTGGAGGGCTCGAGAAATTTTGACCGAAAGGGCGTCATTTATCTCCACCCAAATCTTAGTTTACTGGCCTACATCGCACTTTCAGCCCCGTGAAAAATAAAACAGCGGTGAGCGGAATCCATTTTGCGTGCTCGGGACCACCGTGGCCATAAATTCATTTTTAACGACAAGTCTCTTAATAGTGAAGTGATCATGGAGTCAGAATAGACGTGAACGCAGATTAGGAGAAGACACTACTGAATTGAGCAGCTTTCAGCTTGATCGCTTAGTGAACTTGCTGCACCAATGAGAGTCGTTAATAAGCTTAATTACGCATGCATACTGCTAAATAAATATCAAAAAAATGCACAGATAACAAATTTCTTATCGCGTACTCAGTATGACCAATGCTTACATCTGAACAGTTAGCACATTAAAGAACCCCAGGTGGTCAAAATTTCCGGAGCCCTCCACTACGGCGTCTCTCATAATCATATCGTGGTTTTGGGACGTTAAACCCCACAAATCAATCAACAGTTAACCAGTCTTTATATACAGGCTTATGTCTGATTTTAAAATCACAAAGTTGACAAAAAGTACCGAAATCTTATGCTGATTTATTAGCCGACATTTTCACACTCCATAGCAAGCTTACTTGTTGACAATGAAAGAAATGAAATTACGGTTAGTGACGATTCTGACAAGGCGATAGAATGTCGCAATTGTCGTTTCATGCGTGCTTGGAGGAAGCGTTTAAACAACTAGACCGGGAAGAAACATGAACGTCGATTAGCAGAGAATGGCTCAACAACATACGGTTTGCAGATTAAACAGTTCTCTTCAGTAACCATGGCATCGAGTTGTGAATATATGATTGAGGGAATAAACTAATCAAATATTAAATACAGACCTGAAAATGAATATGATACAGAAAGCGATCATGCTGAAAAGTCTGGGGAATCAGATATGATATGATAAATTTCAAAAGCATACATTGGACTACATACGAGAATATGCATACCTAAAAAGCAACTATCAGGAGAGCTTAATAATGAAATATATTTTCCCAGGAATAATATTGGTTGAACGCGCGTGGGGACGCAATCCCAACTATTATTATAAGATGTACCGCTATCATTGAAGCCGAAAGTAAAGTATAAAACAACCGCATACTGCCAGTTATAATATATGGGGCTGAAACACACAGCATAACAATTGCGCTAAAAGAAATGTTGAGGACCACACAGCTGAAATGAAACGTAAAGTGATAGGAATGACATTAAGAGATGGGAGGATGGCAGAATGTGTATGGGAACAAACACGGGTAATAAACACAGGTTCGCCATATTCAGGTTGGCATCAAGCGAAATGGATGAACCTGGGCTGGTTCTGAAATTCGTAGAAGAGACACACGATTTACAGTAACAACAGCAGAATGATTACCAAGGGATGGAAAGCGCACTCTAAAAAGGCAGAGCGTTAGTTGTAGTGACAAAATAAGGTTCGCAAGGACAAAATGAACTCAGCTCACACATTACAGTGCAAACAGAAAGCTATTGGGAGAAGCCTTCATCCGGCAGTGGACACAAGCTGGCTGAGAACCACCAACATGATGTTGAGACGGCATTATTGATCTAAACTGACCGTATAGTGCACAACTAGTTGTATGACTTGAGGCTGGGCGTAGTCTGAGCCACCTCTGTAGCCGGGAAACATTGGCGAGGAATCACGACAAAGCTGAGTGCACACACACACACACACACACACACACACACACACACACATCACGCGCGCGTCCACACACACGTGAATGGATGTCGCTAGCTCTCTGAACTTGCCACTTGCGAAAGAATTTAGGGTGTGGTAAAAATACGGGCATGCTCTGCGCTTTTGTCTATACTTTGCCCGTATTTCTACCACCTTTACTCTCACGAGACCGCAGCGGCGAATACTGTCCTCGGTCGTTGAATAATATGGCCGTTGGCAAAACTCTGCTTTTATACCTGCAGTATCGAAGATATTGACATCACTGTTTGGGACCACGTTTCCTTCAAAATCAAACTGTGTACACAGATTTTGAGTGCGACATTGTCAAAAAAATCTCACATAGTCAGTAAGGTTCACAGAGAATTTGGCGTGGCCTCGGTCGAGAGCTGGTTATACGTGTGAAAGGGCTATCACATGAAAACTCATAAAGTGTCCGGCTTGGGGACGCTTTCATGATACGTAAAATTTAGCTCACCATATGCTTTGACTTGCTTGCCAGAAAACATATTGCCAGCGAAAACAAGACAGTGAAAAAAAACGTTCAGGATGCTCGCTGGGCTTCCTGTGGGCCTCTTCATTCAACCTTGCCTTTTTTCTGGTAAAACCTGTCTCAACAATCTAGCCCGACTTACAGCATTAATTTTAATATTCTGGTGTGCACTGGGCAAGATAATAATTGTATTAATTGAAATATATTTCTCGGGTTTACCATCGCAGAACCATGATATGATTGTGACAGACACCATATTAGAGGGCTCCGGAAATTTATAATTTAGGGGGATCACCGTCTTCAAAAAAGTTCCAGTAGTCATTGGCTGTACAATAAAGAAATGACCAACCAGCATTTTTTCTTTCAGTGGACCACCTAGTTGGTAACGTCTCTGATCTGGTGGTGGCTGGCATATTGACCACAACGGCAACTCTTCAGTGGCACCTGCTGCAGCTAGCCCTAGAGTCATGCAGGTTGCAAGCGCAGTTGCAGCAGGAGCTCGACCTAATCGTCGGACGAGAGCGTCCACCTGCGTGGGAGGATCGCCACCGCATGCCGCTCACCATGGCGACCATCTGGGAAATGTACCGCTGGAAGGTGGTGACACCTCTCGGTCTGCCCAGGGAGTACGCATAATTATTCATTATAGCTTCCGTACGCTACTGACATGCGAAAAAAATACAACATCTGATAAGAGAGTGCAGGACAAATAGCCGTAAAAACAGAACCTATACCACGAAGTGCCGAATAATACATGGATAATTTTTTAGGACAAAAGGTCCTAGCTTTGCCGCAAAGGTAAAGCAATGAACGCAACAACAACAAATTGGAAGGTAACACGCAAAATAGCAAGCAGATCAAAACGTGCCCCGCGTTTCTCACGCACAAATAACGCATCAAACGTACTCACAGGTACAGATGAACACCAATAGGCGTCTGAATTGTTTCTTCACTGTATCTGAAAAGTACGCTCTTTTCGCAAACGGAGACTGTGCAACAATGATAGTGACCTTTGTGTGCCCGGTAACTATAACACAATCGTTCCGGTGAAAGCTTAATGACAGCCAAAACATAAGATGTTCCGAACCGCGAGGTAAGGGTACGCGAAATGTGTTCAGGGGCTTTACGAGCACCCACTCCTCTCCACGAGGCCAGGTATGCGTGGGAGATAATCATAGCGTCATCTTGGTGGTAATGCTAAAAACGCGATACCTCCCCCCGACTCGAGATGCCCATTACCAGCGGTGAGTGGTATATATAATAAGCTTACCGTTTGCACGTTGAAGGTCTTGCTCCTTGGTGACTCAGTGGTTAATGCCTCGCACTCACGATGAAGAATTTCCACATTATATATATAATATATATATATATATATATATATATATATATATATATATATATATATTTAGAGAGAGAGAGAGAGAGAGACGGTGACGCCAGTGTGAGCAGCAAAATCCAGGCGAGAGTGTCCATGTATCTTCTAATGCAATAAAATAAATTGCCTATGCAAAATTAAAAGAAATGTGAACTAGCCATTATTAGCTCTCACAAAAACTCGCCCCTGCGTCTAAGAGGTGTGTTAAATGACCTGCGCTAAGGACGGTATAAGGGTATCGTGTTGATTGGTTTTCTCTTGATGATGGCTCTGGCAGTCACGCGTAAACTTTACTAATATATTATTGCAGTTTTTTTTTGTCAATAAGCCCACAGCTTTATAAGTAAGCACGTTGTGGTGTTAGTTTTCGACGTCGTTCTTTGCTCTACCGCATCCAGTTACGGCTGTCAATCAAATAGCAGAGCAAACACTTCACTCCGTAAGCCAAAGGGTTTGAAGGGAAGTGGTTGCTAACCTCTCGAGCTATGTACGGAAGCTGCAGCACTAAGTTAGCGGCTGCTGTCCGAATAGCAACTGTGGACAACTGATGCTCGAGAAGTCACTTATTCATGTATTTATTTATATTTATTATTCAATTTTACACATACCCAAAGCGCTCATGTGGACGTTACATGAGGCGCATTAATGCCATCCACAGGAAAAAGTACTATCTTTGTGATTCCCGCCCCTGCATATTTCTGGTGCATGTTACACTTCCCAAGTAGTGTCCGATTGAGCGCTCTTGTGCAGGGCATCAGAGGATACCTGCATCGGGGACCACTTCGTACCTAAAGGTACCGTAATAGTGGCCAACATGTGGACGGCTCACATGAACTCTGAACATTGGGAGCACCCGCAGATATTCGACCCTACAAGATTCTTGAAACCGGATGGATCGGCGGCCGTCACGCGGCCAGCCAACTTGTTTCCTTTCAGCGTCGGTAAGTCCAGCAATGAAATATAGACAACGCAAGCGTTTCAGCTGAGAGATTTGTGACAGAATTTCCGCCTGATCACTCATGTAACCAGGACTAGGAAGATCTAAAGAGTGATTTTTTCTCCGCCTTGCAATCATGTAAAGTCTCATGTTACGTAAGTATGTGTGGAGAGGCGAGGTTGAACAAGACTAAATGGGAACTTTGAAATGCAGGTTGCTAGCATACACACTTGCTGCACGTAACATAGTTATTATAGATCAAAAAAGTGCCTGCCACACGTAACATAGTTAATACGTCTCATGAGAGAGTCTGCCAGAAGGAATAAGTGTTTTTTTTTTGCAAACTCTGACTGATATGTGGAGTTTAACGTCCCAAAACCACCGTATGATCATGACAGACGCCATAGTGGGTGACTCCGGAAATTTCGACCACCTGGGGCTTTTTAACCTGCACCGAAATCTGAGCACACACGCCTACAACATTTCCGCCTCCATCGGAAATGCTGCCGCCGCAGCAGGGAGTCGATCTCGCGACCTGCGGGTCAGCAGATGAGTACCTTAGCCACTAGACCACCACGGCGGGGCTTTTTGCAAACTCTGACAAGTTCTACAACCGTTAGCATGAAGATGCAGACGCACTATTTTATAACCTTAGGAGCTCATACGCTTCATTACGCTTTTCAAAAAGGAAAAAAGTACGTTACAAAAAGGTCTCAAATGATTTCACAAAAATATTTTGTGATTACAATCACAGAAGATCTCGCATGCGTATTCTTTTAAAGACTTGCCGTACTCTGATTAGGCAAAACAAATACCATTTGTCCAAAAAGTTGCGTAGGTTCCGCACATGTATTAAAACAGTAGTTGGTTAAAGCAAATGTCTCGCAGTAAGGTGTTCGCGATATTCCGGGGAGTGTGCGCCACTGAAAGCGTTCACGTGCCAAGCAGATTTCAGCCTAGCGTGCCTATGCATATTATAATATAGCAAGCGAGTGGAAAAGTAAATAAAGGGCAAGAAAAATTGACTGGGGATGGTTTAGTATTTTTATGGATCTGATTGGTTTATTTTTAACCAATCGTAAACGCTGGACAAAACACTAGGCATGGTCGGAAACATTAGTCGAAAGCCGTTCACTAAAAATCCCACGAGGCATTTCTTCATCTATCATGCTCTTTCAGCGCAATGTTTCCTCTAGGCAAGATAAAGGTCACCTATCAAGTAAGCGTGATCGGTTGTTGTAGGGTTTCAATCATTCATCATGCACAGTTCATGAGTTGCGTGAACGGCAGTTCTTAGTCGTCTCTTTCGCAACGACGTACGTGATGTCACTCACGTATTGGCTAATCATAAGGGATCCCAGATACTTGGAAATGAGCTAAGGATGAAGTCCCTTCTTTCAAAAAGGCGTTTGCAACTAGAGAAAAGTAGCTGTTGTGAAGGACTGGTAGATGTCTTGTGTCGCTGTGGTTCCCAGCACAAGCATGCTAGCAGAGATCATCAAGCCGACAATGTTTACGCGCCTTTCAGCGTGACGCTAGCGTTTTGTTCGTCCAGAAAGAAATTGTGTCAAGAAAACTTCGAGGAAGGCGCGCATAGGAAAGGAAAAATGAACTTATATAATACGGCCTAGTGTTTTGAGGTAATAAAGGCATATATAACAAAATGTAATGCAGTTTTGTACTTCTCGCGATCGGCAGAGGCATACATATAAAACATGTGGATGATTGTACTATCGCTGTGTTCAGTTAGGCCATTGGTTGCGGGTGGCAAAGCAAGGAATGCCAATATTTACACCCACCGAGTAAAAAAAAAAACCTTCAACAAAACAGGCGGTGAGCTGCCGGCCGCTATCACTGATCGCCACTGGAGGAGCTACGTGACAGAGGATAATTTAGTGCAATATAGGCGTAGAACGTGACACATCAGATGAGATGGCTGAAGCCACTGCCATTGTTCAGTTATAATGCGCAAGGTAATATAAGCACACAATAAAGCAGCGGTGGCTGGTGGAAGACTTGAGAATGAGGCTGAGCCAGCCTATGTTGACTTTTTAGAAAGATGAACTTGGTTACTCATCTATTTATAGCGTACCACCCGAACGAATTGTAGATTGCAGGACAGGGGAGACACTATAAATCAGTAAGTAGTGATTGATCATCCTCCACAGTCAGGGCCATTAGAAATATTGGTGTATACGGTGAAGCGTTCGGCAAACACAAGGGGCGTATATGAAATATCCTTATGTATGTACTAGAGAACAGCGAAATCGACAATTGAGCTTGTTTAAAATGCTTATGCACATTCGAAATGGGTCACATCAGTACAATACCACGAAAATAAATTTAACGCACCATCCAGTGCCTTCTACCAACTGATTTTTGCTTGGGATGGTCTCGCACTGGTAGACTCGGTGCCATTAGGTTGTATACGGGAGACTCTTGGTCAGCTGCCCTCTCGTAATAAGCTCACGTGCTACGTGACGCCACACAGGCTCATAAAAGGGTGTTCCCCACTCACCGCTATGGCTACAGATGGCGCTGACTGACACTCCCCCGTTCAAATTCACATACAAACCCAGTAAAGTGGCTGGGGGGATAGCCAACGTGATTGCCGACATTGGTTCTAATAACTTGCCCTATATATTCCTTGGCAATATTGTTTTTGTTATATCTCATTAATGATGTGTCAAAACAAGAAAAAACGAGGCCTTTTCATATATATATATATATATATATATATATATATATATATATATATATATATATATATATATATATATATATATATATATATATATGTTATAAACTTCGAGAATAGTGCAGTATAGGAAACAAAACAATAAAATATATATTTAATCCTAACAGTTTCGGCTGGTGGACCAACCTTCTTCGGAGGATGTATTTCACATACATCCTCCGAAGAAGGCTGGTCCACCAGCCGAAACTGTTAGGATTAAATAAATACTTTATTGTTTTGTTTCCTATACTGCACTATTCTCGAAGTTTATAACTTTTATTACGGTAGCCGGAAGAAACTCTGATCATATATTTCATCTATATATATATATATATATATATATATATATATATATATATATATATATATATATATATATATACATATATATGTCAATACAGGTCGCAGGCACCGAACCTGCCAACTTCGAATAACGCAGGTTCGGTTACTGCTCACGGCAAGTTATCTATTCACCCACTTTTCTTTCTTCCTATTTACATTACAAGTGGGTTTAATAACTTACAACTTCCCCTATACATTCCTTGGCATGATTGTCTGATAGATCTCATTAATATTGTGTCAAAATACAGAAAAACGAGCTCTTAAGTATACACTTCTTTTCTTATTCATTAACAAGGGTCTCGTACTGGCAGACTTGGTGCCGTTAGGTTGTATACGAGGGACTATTTGTCAGGTGCCAGCTCGTAATAACTTCCCATGCTACGTGACGCCAAACACGCACATGAAGAGCGTTTTCACACTCGCCGCCATTGCTACAGGTTGCGCTGACTGACACTACCACGTTTAATTTCACTTATAAACCCTATAAAGTTTGTGGAGGGATAGCCGTCGTGGTAGCTCAGTGGTAGAGCATCCAACTGCTCACGCCAAGTTATCTTTTCACCCACATTTCTTTCTTCCTATTTACATTACCATTCGGTCTAATAACTTCCCTTATACATTCCTTAGCATTATCGTCTGTTAGATCTCATATATATATATATATATATATTATATATATATATATATATATATATATATATATATATATATATATAAGTCGAGTTTTCCTTTCGTTGCCGTGGTATTAGAAGAAAATAAATATACGCGTCCAAACAACTGTTGATTGGCGACGTTTCGATCGGACACCGATCTTCATCAGAAAAAACCTAATAGAGACATAAATACGATAAAAGAAAAAGCGCACACATAAACCAGTGGACAAACAACCCATGTTATGCTGATAATTGATCCATAGTAATAAGTGGTCAAACGACCACCTGTGCGTCTCCGTACTTCCACATACGCATGTCACGTGCGTTTTGTGCGAAAAAAGTGCACACATAAACGAGTGGACAAAAAACCCATGATATACTGATAATTGGTCCGCACTAATAAGTAGTCAAACAAGTATGTTGCGTGTGCGTACTTCCACATACGCATAGCACCTGTATTTTGTGCAAAAAAGTGTACACCTAAACAGGTGACTAAACAACCCATGTTATTCATAGAATCAAGCCATGTTTCTTGGTTCCAGGTGTGTAAATGGTCCAGGTGGCTAAATTAAGGCATTTAACTTAGATATCGTGAAGTTTCTTCCCTGAAGTTCACCCCTCATGAACTTCCCCTTGTAGCTTGAAAAGAATACCAAAGTACATTGCTTGCGGTCATTGTCGCTGTCACGTTCCACCGGAAGGGAAGAGATAACTTTTGATAGCCGTTCACTGTGTTGGAAGGTGTTAAATTGTCTGTTTAGAATTTGGTTCACGTTAGGGGGGTTGATACTAAATGTTAAAACGAAGTTTTCCTGTCCCTCTTGTTTTAGTTTTTTTGCTGTTAAAGTAGCTGCTGCCAATCTAGGTTTGCCACATTATGTATGGCGTCGTTTACTATAAAGAGTACCTTGCGCAAGTTCTTTGCGTTGGCCTCAAAGTCTTTAGGACAGGAGCAAATTCTTTTGAAACCGTGGGCGTTGTGGTAGGGGAGGGATGTTTTGCAGTGACGAGGCTGGCAGCTATCGAAAAGAAGAGGAGGGGTTGGTGCCGGTCTGTAGGCTTTTTGTAAACGTTAGTAGCTCATGACCCGTATTTTACTATTATATGGACGTCTGGGAAATTTATTTTAGTGGTTAAGTAGGCATAAGTGAATGTTATGTCTAGATGAACTTTGTTGTAAGTTTCCATAAAATAATTAGGCTGTCCGGTGTGTCTGTCCAAATAATGAAAATGTCATCAAGGAAGAGTCTTAGGGAATCGGCTCATTTTCTG